TTAATTACTGTCTTTCAATTTTCTTTAATTGTACTTCATTTTTTTTTTTTCTTTTTTCTTTTTTAAAGAAATGATAAGGTTCTTACACTCATTCATTATTCCTTCCATGATGGGCTCCACACACTTATATATATATATATATATATATATATATCCCTTATTAACTCTCGATGGATATATGCTCTCTTTTTTCTTTTTTTCTTTTTTTTTTTGTGTTTAAGCAGTTACATAGATAAGTCTTGGATTCACCATCACACTAGGGGTACTGTAATGTATTTTGATGGCATACATGACTTCATTGATGTGGCTAGGCGTCATGCAGAAGTAGACGGTAAGTCCCGATGTCCATGTCGTCGTTGCAAAAATAGGACTTATCGTCAAATTGAAGAAGTTAAGTAGCATCTCTTGAGTAATGGGATGGACAAGGGGTATACCAATTGGATATATCATGGGGAGGCTCGTCAAAGCAACAATAATGCTAATATTGATGCTAATGTCAGTAGGGAAAATGTCCACGATGAAAATGGAAATGTAGATAATGTATTTTAATTGTTGGATAACATACAAATGGGAAACTTCACTAATGCACAACAGCAAGAAGATTCGCTTGAAGTTGATGTTGGAGAAGGAAGCTTTGATAGATTGTTAAATGATGCACAATGTGAATTGTGGCCAGGTTGTGAAAAATACTCTAAGTTGTCAGCGATATTAAAGTTGTTCCATGTGAAGGTTACAAGCCGAATGAGCAACAAATCATTTGACATGATGCTTGATGCATTTAAGGATATGCTTCCCAATAACAATATGTTACCAAAGTCTCATTATGAGACTAAAAGCTTGTTACGAGACTTGGGTCTCGGATATGATTGTATACATGCATGTAAACATGATTATGTTCTATTTTGAAAGGAGAATATAAGTAAAGAAAATTGTCCACAATGTGGTGAATCGAGGTATAAACCTCACGAAAGTAAGGGTAAGAAAATCCCTCAAAAGGTTCTTTGGCACTTCCCTTTGAAATCAAGACTTCAACGGTTGTTTATGTCAAAGGATACAACCTTAGACATGCGGTGCCATAAGGAGAAACGAGTGAAGGAGACAAATGAGTTAAGACATCCAGCTGATTCAAAAGCTTGGGAGGATTTTGATAGTAAGCATAGTTGGTTTGCTATTGATCCTCATAATGTTCGTGTTGGATTAACAACTGATGGATTCAATCCATTTGGTAACATGAACAATGCGTATAGTATGTGGCCTATGATGATTGTGCCTTACAATTTACCACCTTGGATATGTATGAAGGAGCCATATATATTTATGTCGTTGCTTATTCCTGGTCCAACATCGCCTGGTAATGATATTGATGTGTACATGCAACCTTTGGTTGAAGAGTTACAAGAATTGTGGCGGGATGGTGTGATGACATATGACGCCTATAGTAAATGTAACTTTAAAATGCATGCGGCAATGATTTGGACCATTAGTGATTTTCCCGCCTATACGATGGTAACTAGATGGATGACAAAGGGTTATCTAGCATGTTTGAATTGTAACAAAGAAACAAGTTCTTGTTTTTTGAAACACGGACATAAGATATGCTACTTGGGAAGTCGTATGTTTTTATCGTTAGATCACATTTTCAGAAAACATCACAAGCAATTTAATGGCAAAAGTGAAGACAAAGGGCCACCAAAGCAGTTGACAGGTGATGATATTCTGGAACAACTTAACCTCATACCCGAGGTTAGTTTCGGAAAGGGGCTAAATAGAAAGAAGCGAACTCGTGAGAAATTTGAACTTAACTAGATGAAGAAGAGTATTTTCTTTGAACTACCTTATTGGCAGACCCTTTTGTTGCGGCACAACCTGGATGTTATGCATATGGAGAAAAATATATGCGATAGTGTGTTGGGAACATTATTGGACATTGAAGGGAAAACTAAGGACACATTCAAAAGTCGGTTGGATTTAGAAGCAATGAGGATTAGAAAAGAACTCCACTTGAGGTGTAATGGTGAAAATTTTGAGATGCCACAAGCGCGCTACACATTGTTAAAGAATAATAAAAGACAACTATGTGAATGGCTAAAATCGATTAAGTTTCCAGATGGCTATGCATCGAACATAAGTCGGTGTGTGAATGTTAATAATTGTAAGATATCAAGATTGAAAAGTCATTATTCACACGTTCTCTTACAACGTCTCCTCCCTATTGCTATACGAGGATTCTTAAATTCAGATATTTGTAACACAATAGCTGAGCTTGGTTTATTCTTCAAGGAATTGTGTTGTCTGTGGTCCACATCATCTTGATTTTGTAATTGCTTTGAGATTCATTCTAGGATTCTACACCAGCACAGGCACACACTAGCATTCATTTGTGGGGTACATACTTTGTTGATTATTGAATTGGTTATATCCCAATTGAACTAATAGTGCACTGAAAGCTTTCATTTTGATAAAGGTGGATAACAACCCATTTTCACTAAGTAGCCGGGATTTTAGCCTCATCAAGCGCTGAACTTCTCGTGCCGAAAGATGGAAGGCCCAAACTCTAGGTTAATAATTGAAAAAAAAAAAAAAAAAAAAAAAAAAAAAAAAAAAAAAAAGAAGAAGAAGAAGAAGAAGAAGAAGAAGAAGAAGAAAGTTGCAAAAGTAATAAAAAGTGAGGAATTCTCCCAAAAGGAGATAAATAGGAAATGATTAGATGGAGGTTTTTTTTATTTGTAACCTAGTTGATTTGAGCTTGTAAGTCCGTAGGAGTATTTAAACACCTAGTGCCCTAAAGCCGTCCGGTTTGGGAGTCATTGACCAAACGCTCGACCTCATGAATCACTAGAAAGCTTAATAAATCAACACATTGCACCATGCTTCCATCTTTGATCCTCGATAAAATAAAATAAAATAAAATAAAAATGAGTGAAAAGAATAAGCGCACCTAGAATAATAAAGCTTTAATAAAAGGTCCAATCTTTGTCTTGATGATCGATACTAGATTTGTGTGCTAGTTTGAGGGTAAAGATGTGATTAATTCTTTAGTTAGTTAAGATAACAACATATTTGATGCCGATCCACTCAAAAAAATTCTAGAGTTGTTTTGAATTGCATGATCATTTTCTTGATGTGTGGAGGACCATATTTGCATGCTTGATGTTGAGATTTTGGAAGATTACTTGGAAATGGTTAAAAAATTGCACACTTGAGGTAGTTGTCTTCTAATACTTGTTTACAATATTGGTGCCTCTTTTGAAAGAATGAACTTAATGTTTGTGGGTATCATTTCTGGAAACTCTCACGAGACTTTACTCGTCCACTAGGGGTAACCTAGGGGTTTAAAAGGCTTGTTGCATGTGCTAAGTGCAATCGTGTTCCCTACGAAAGTGGTGTTATCCTTTTATTGCTTTCTAATTTATACTTGTATAGTTGTTCATTTCATTCCTTTACTTTCTAGCTTATTACTAGGGACTAGCAATATTTAAGTTTAGGTGTGTGATGAGCGCTGAAAAGTGTGCATTTAAACCCCTTAAGCTTAGGTATTCTAGGACCTTTATCTATCTTATTTTCCTGCTTTGTATTGATTTCGTGTTATTTTCGTTTTTAGGCACTTATCCCCAAAATAAGCTAACTCAGCCAAATAAGAGCAAAAATGAAGCAATTCTGAGATGAACCAAAGAAAGGAGCAAAGTAGGAGCAGAATGAAGTAAATGGTGGAATTTCAGCAACTTCGATCCATCTCAGGAAAAGTTCGATCGATCCAACATGGATCGATCTCAGTACTTTAAGATGGATCCAAGCCATTTTTTGTCCTTATTCAAAGATCCCAAAGTTTGATCGATCCAACTTATTCTCTTATCGATTGAACATTCTTGACCTTATCCAGTTGTACCACCCCACCTACCACTTTTGTCTCTTTCCCAAAATATCTCCAAAATATCTCAGTTTGATAGGTCTCAGCCATGTTCGATCGATCCAAGTCAAGGTTCGATCGATCGAACTTCCTCCAGTGCGAAAAAGTTCATTTGCCAGCTCATAGAAAGTTGTCTCTTATCCAATCATTGGGGAAATATTGGTGTACGAGTCATATCATTCTTGGGTGTCACTTGACCTACTTTTGAGAGGATAGAGCTACTTTTGAGAGATATCTTTTTACACATATCTTTACACACATCATCTAGAGAAAAAAATCTAGAGAGAGAGAATTCTTAGGGAGGAAGCAAAGAAAGAGAAGAGGCTAGAGACACCATTGGAGGTTCGTCATCAACCAAGAAGAAGAACAAATCTCATCCATGGAGATTGTCCTTGAGGGTTGGAGGAGTATATCCATGAGTGGCTAGACATCCTCTTGGGGCTAAAGTTAGCCCTAAGCATGCTTTCTACATCTTAATTTATGTATTTTTGAGGGATTTGTGTTGTAATATATGTTTTGACATTTATATATACATAAATCTTGTTTATTCAATAATTTGTGTGGTTTAATGCTTCCAATTGATCATTTCATTCTATCTATGTATCTATGTATGCTAGAATTGATGTTCATGTGTTTATCTCTAACTTTTGTGTTATTGATGCATGTCTATGTATATTAATGCCATGGATCTAGAGATTGTCAAAACATAGTGCTTAATTGAATGCTCTTGTGATTTTCTTGATGGTTCATACTCATTTCTTGATAGATTGTGCTTCTTCCTTAGCTTAATTAGTTTAATTTCATGTTAGTAGCTTAGTGCCTCTTCCTCTAAACCCACTCACACATACCGAAACTAAACACTATTTGTAATAATCAAAAATTCGTTTCAAACGAACCATTTGAGGCAGGCAAAGAACAATGATCAACTTGAAGATATATTGTTTTGGAGTCCAATCAATCAAGTATTGATGATAACTGCATCAGCCACGTTAAAAATCCAATCAATTGAAAAGGGGAAAAAAATATATATATATATATAGTTAAGAACGTATTAACCCTCGATCTAAAGTTTATATCATGGGCCCAATGAAAGAACTAAAAGAAACAAAAAAATTTATATTATAATATCAATCTTCTACCTTACTGTTTCAAGTGTTACATTGAGAGGAAACAAGTCCCCCTTAAAACTACCCTCTATGGTTCTGACATCAGTCCGAGCTCCATGGAAAAGTAGCAACTTGACCATTTCATACGATAAACAATTAGCTGCTAAATGCAATGGATATAATCCATCCACAAAGGGAACATTAAGATCCGCGATGAAACCGGTCTCTCCTTCGAGAAAAGCAACGGCACAATCTACTGCGTCACACAAACAAATCAAATCCAAAATCATTGACGGGCAATATTTAGCTTGATTACCACCTAATTCCTCCTTTCCAACTTTTTTTCTCTTTGGCATTTCTTTTTTAAATAGCTTCTTCATAAGATAGAGAAATTTAGGTTTCTTGTCATGACGAGCAATATCAATCATTTTTTTTTCCAAATCAAAATCAAATTCTTCATCAAGATGAGCGTATCCCACCTGTCCTTATTTGAACAACACTAACATCAGCACGTGTGAAGTCGACGAGGAAGATAATAGCACAGATCATTAAAATTTTCAAAAAAAAAAAAAATTCCTATAAATGCAAATGCAGCTTACAAGAAAAGTAAACAATATGGAAGACAGTGGATAATATTAGCAGTAAAATAATACTAATAATGAGGGGGAAAAGGGAAGAAATACTGTGATAAACTTAGTTTTTCTGTTGGCAAATTTTGCTGTCAAGACATACTAATCGAATTAAAAAAAAAAAATTCACTTTTGAGTCTTGATTTCAGAAGTTGAACGGCATGTGATCAACACAAGCTAATACCTATTGATCGGATTTGAACCACACTTAGAAGAGGCAAGTGAGAGTGTGAGTACACGTGTTTTGAAAACTGCTTTTAAAAGTTGTAGTCAAAATATGTTTTTGAAAACCCTAGAACATGAGGTGAATGGGCCTTGAAACAATAACAACATGGGGTGTTGTATTCAGTCCATTTTTGACTTACCTGTCTTATTTTTTAAATATCACAATCCACACAAGTTTTGAGATGATCTTTATATGGTCGGAAACCAGACTCGATAAACATTCCAAAGATATATTATTTGCTTAATTTGAAATTTTTTGACCCCTAAACATTCCAAAGGTCATCTGCACAAACTTCAGGAATAGAGTTCCAGGTGAGTCCCACAGGTGGAAAAAAGTCCCTCCTGTCCAACAAGTCTCAATATTTTAGACCTGCAGAGTTCTGCCACTGGTATAAAAAACTAAAATAAAAAATAAAAAAACCAACCGTGCATCTATGCTAGGTGGCTTCGAAATTACGTGTTTTTGATCAAATTTCAACCCTCATTCAACTAAACCCCTTGAGACGTCCAATAAGGGTCTTCCAACACGTTTCCAACTTATTTTTGGACTCTCTTAGTCTATTTAAATTCCTCTCGTCTCCAACTCTTCAAGAATTAAAGAGCTATAATAATTTTTCACAGTTAGAGCTTTTGAGACAATTTTTGATAGAAACAATCACCATGATTGTTTTTCTTTATTGGAGAGCATACAACAACATCAGGATTTGTTTTTTTTCTTTCAACTTTTTGTTTGCAAGGAAGGTGGATCAATTGCTACAAAGGCAATAGAATGTTGAGCATTCGTGTACTTTCAGCAATCCGTTTGCAAGAATTGTGGGTGTAACACTGCTTCGAGAAAGTGGATTGATTTTCCAGAGACAGCTAAGTCTCCGTGGTTTTTCCTTTCCAGAATTCCAATTAAAAAATTCCTGCGTCATTTTTCACTCTACTTTACTTTACTATCTTTTATTTATTTCTTTGTGTGGTTTATTTAATTTTAATTCGGTAAAATTAAACGAATTCAAAATAAATAAATAAATTATAAGGGTAAGCTAGACCTATTTACCCCCATATCCCCCATCTATGTCTTTTTATCTAGGATCAAACTTTCCTTGCCACTTCCGCACCGCGCAACTCACAAATAGAAATACAAAGAAGCAGTGATAATGATGTGAAGCTCCCATGTAAACCACTTTGTTAAAGGGAAGTGGGATGGAGTAAAGATTAACCAAATGCACAAACAGTAACATAAGTACGAAAAAAATGTGGATATCAAGTTTAAATACACACCTCAGACATCTTTTCCCCAATCATAGTATATGCACTCTGAACTCCTTACAACAGACACTCTGATGTAAGATTAACCTTCATAAATAGAAAAAACATCATTTGAAAGTTTTTCAAAGAAACTAAATCACAGTAGAGAGGCAGTCACATTATATATTTCAAACTAGTATATAATGCAAAATATCTACTTGAGAATAGAATCCCAACATTCATCACATACACAAAGGGTCTGTGCATCTGTGTCTAAAAAAATAGAAGCTCACCTAAAAACATAGAAGTGTTTAGATGTACTTGTACGCAAAAAGTTATAAACTAGAAACACAACTATACATGTGTAAATATAGAGATGCATCTGTGTATAAAAAAATAAAAGCTCTCAACAAAATCATGCAAAAAGTTATACATTAGAAACATAACTATACATGTGTATATATAGAGATGCATCTGTGTATAAAAAAAATAAAAGCTCTCAATAAAATAACCAGAAACATAAGTATACATGTGTATATATAGAGATGCATGCAAACGCAATACACTTATGGACAAACTATCGTGCATACTAATGCATGCCTGTTCAAATGCATGCATATGATGTGAAATTCACATTTTTGATGCTTTAACATAGGCTGAAACAAGATAAGGAAATTCATTAACATGGGTCAGCCCTTGTACGGTAAGGCTGTGTTTGGAACCAAGGAATTTGGTGGGATTTGAATTTGGAAATGGGACTATTAAGCATTTGTGTTGTTTAGAACGATGGAATTAAAAATGCGATTTCAAATACCAATTTTTACCCATAAAGACATGTAACATATTATTATAACATAATAACATTATATATATAGCCTTATTTAAATGTCTTCTAACCTCTTCCTACTTTCTGCTCTCCTATCTAGTTGTTTCCACAAAATTGGGACACTTGGAATATGCAGGCGTGCCAGAATCTCGGAAGATTCAGAGAGGTCAAACGAAAAGGAAGATCCTTTTGGAATGATCAAGCGATTGTGAGGTTTCGGATTTGGCTTCGATGAAAGGACTTTTAGTTAAGACTACAATGCTATCTAATGAATTGAAATGCAATACTGAAAGAAAGTCGATGAAGGTAAAGGAATTGAAATTGAATGAATTGAAATACAAAGTATTGAATGTTGATTGATGTCGTTGAGAGAGTTTGAAACATAGTCCTAAGTAAACTATTTATAGGCATTAAAGCCCTACAAGAAGGACCCATGTCCTTTTAAGCAACTGCCCAATTCTTTCTTACAAGACATTTGTCTCATGCTCAGCTGCCGAATTCCAACTTCCAAACCCACGATCCATGAGTTTCTTCCACTGCAGCCTTGTGTCCCACGTTCCTTCAACTGCTTATTCGAATGTATTTATATATATATATATACCACGTCCTTAAATCTTTGTTGATTTATTCCCTTTTTTAAATCAGCTGAAGGCTCAACCACGATCCCATTTATCCCTAGATTTTAGGAACCACCTTCCTTATCTAATTTTGATTTTAAACTCCTTAAAGGTAGGGACTTTTAAACTAAATTGACAATTTATAGAAGTTTTATGCATGTCTAACTCCTTTAGCCCACGTCCTCCTTGAATTTAGGAAACCATTTATCCCACAATTTTATTGCCAGCTGTCCTTTTCCTTTCATACCTGCCTTTCTTGTTCTGCTAGATGTCTCCAGAGTGTTGGAATCTCTTTCCCTTCCAAGTTTGACATGTGTCAAGTCAACATTCGAACCATGATTTAGTCCACTTGTACTATTTTTACTGCACCATCTCATCATTGAACTGGCCAACTATTGGCCTGCCACTTTTATGTGCCAACATTATGCCCCCCAAATTTTGAAGCTTTCTATCTTCCAAGATTAGGCCTGTAAAGATTTAAAATTTGAAACTTTCTAGATATCCGCATAGGCCTTATCCAACAAAGATTCCTTTTCTGCCGATTACTATTCCCGATTTGACAACCATCACCTCTTACTTAATGGCTACAACTTTCCACCAGCCATCATTAAATGCATGTCTTCTTTACTCCATTTTAAATCAGAAGGTTTCCTTATATTATGCCATCTTCCTCGTTCAAGACAAAGCTCCTTCTTCCTTCTGTATCAAACCCTTCTTCTTCTGTTGAAGCTTTCCCTTCAATTTCTCAGATGGCCGCCAAAGGAAAATCCTCCTTTGACCTTCCTTTACCTTCTGATCTTCCAACAACCCATGGGCATCAAGCAGGCAAAGCTATCTCTAGCCTTCCAGCTGACCAAGTCTTTCCAGAATCTTTCATCATCCAACCTGGCAACGTCAAATCCGTAGGCCCAGCTTTTCCTTCCAAAATTCCCACCTCAATTTTTTCCTTTTACCCTCAAGCAGAAGATTCCCTTCTTTTTTTGAAGAAATTTCCAAAAGCATCAAATGGCGATTTACCCATTTTTAACCTAAAAATTTGGGTTACGCCATTTGAAGGTTGGAGCGCTTAGGTCGATAGGATGACTCCATTGAAGGAAGAAAGCTAGAAACAAATTGGGATTTACGATGCCATTCAGCTCAGCAAAGTACCCCCAATTCAAGTAAGTCTCTTCTTTGCTGCCCTTGTCTTTTGGAGTTTTACCACAAATTCTCTGCATCTATATTGTGGCATGATGGCTCCTACTTTGAAAGATATTTGCCACTTGACTGGTTTAAAACCCATTGGAACTGAAGTAACTTGTCTTCTTTATAATCCTAATACTGCTTTCCTTTTCCCTACCAAAGAATCTGGAACAAAAAATTATGAAGTAGCTTATGGCCCTTTTCTTCAGGCCTGTATAAAGCATACCCCTCAGCCGAGGATGCAGAGCACGTTGCCTTTCTACTGGTATGGCTTTATCGGTTTGTACTATGTGTTCCAGCCTTGCAGGTTACCAAAGACCTAGTGGAAGTAGCCATTGCTTTGTCTAAAGGTTCCCCTTTAGCATTGGCTCCTCTAGTTTTGGCTCATCTTTACAGGGGCTTCATGATTTGATTGTTTCTGATTTTTCCAGAATGGGTGGACCATTTTGGATCTTCCAATTCTGGCTCCAAATTTACTTTCCAGAGCTAGAGCCGAAAGTTAGATCCTCGGCCAATAATGCTTTAATTTCTTTCAGTTATGCTTCAGCCATGCCTAAACCTCAATCCTTCAGAGATTGCTTCATTTTTTTCTACCAAGGCTGTCAAACCAGAACTCCTCAACAATTCCTTCCATTTTCTTCCGGCATTCAAATCCATCTTGGCTCTCTCCTATCCCTATTTCCACCAAGAAATTATCGGAGGAACAAAAGTCAATATGGGCCAGCTTTTTAGTGGCCAGAGATCTTCATTACATTAGCGCTCCCTATTCTTCCAAGAATAGTAAAGTTGGGGTAGAGTTTTACAACCCTGCCCAACTTGCTCGGCAGTTTGGTTCATGGAAGATGATTCCTCAGCCGCCGTGTCCTCCTTTCAACAGCACCTTCCATCGTCGTGTAAAATTTAATGATGAAGACTTTGTCAAAACTGTAAGCAACAAGTTCAAAGCTTTAAAGAAAATCTTTCAATTTAAGCCTTTCATTGAAAATCCAACTTCCAATCCTGCCTTTAAAAAATGGTGGTCTTCCTACATTGTGAAAACTAGGGAAACAGATTGTTCTTCCCTCATTACCACCCAATTTGGTTCTTTCAAATTCGTAAATCCTGTCTTCCAAGGAACCGACCCTCTCAAAAGTCCCAAAAGAGGTGGATGAAAACTAGGGAAACAGATTGTTCTTCCCTCATTACCACCCAATTTGGTTCTTTCAAATTCGTAAATCCTGTCTTCCAAGGAACCGACCCTCTCAAAAGTCCCAAAAGAGGTGGAAAGAAAAAGAAATAGCCAACCAAAACTAAAACAGCCCTTGCCTCTCCATTGAAGAAAACCAAAAGAAGTACAAGCTCCAAACAAGGTAATAACTCATTATTATAAACTTAATTCTTTCAACTCAGTTACTTACCTTTTCCTTCTTTTGATAACTTTTCTTGTTGACTCTGATGATGAACAAGACCCTCCAAATCTTCAAAAGGACGTATCATCTCAGAGTCATAGCCAAACGGCTGAGACAGCGCCTCCCAAAGGAAAGATTTCCTTAGCCAAAAAGGTATATGCCTTACAATTTCTTTTTGTTTTTTCCTTAGTTATATAGAAGCAATTCCTTACATTCTTTCTTATATTCAGGCTCCTGCTAAACTAGCTCTTCCAAAAGGCACCACAAGACCTAGTCGTCCCCCTATTCGAAGACAACTTCCTATTCCTGAAGAAACTGTTGATTAGAGTGAAAAAAAGTCCAAAGGTTGACCCGGAAGGAAAGAAAGATGAAATTGAAGAGGTGGCGACAAGTGAGAAAGAGGAAACAGAGCAAGAAGAAGAAGAGAAAGAAGAAGAAAAAATGGAAACAAAAGAGAAAGAAGAAGAAGAAAAAATGGAAACTGAAGAGAAAGAAGAGAACGATTCTGAAAAAGATGAGGCTGTAGGAAAAGATGACAGTGAGGAAACTGCCCATTCTGAAAGAAAATATTCCGCTAAGGTATAACATGATACTTCATATTTTTCTTCCTATCTTCTTCTATTGTGTATTAACAAAATTCTTGCAGGATACTGCTTCACATAGCCCTCTTGATCCTAATCTGCCAAGTCCTCAAAGATCTTCATTGAAACAATAGACACTTCTTACCGTCGTTCTTCCAAGAGACCCTTCTACTCCTCCAGTAGGGAAATCTGCTCAACTAGGAGCTTCTGGTACAGAAGAAGTAACCGAATCTCCTTTTATTACATTCTCGTATTTCCTTAACCTTATCCTTCTTTTGCAAGACACTCTTGCCCATCCTCAAACTTCCATGGCTGTTACTTCCATGGGATCATTTTCAGCTTTTAGTGACTACTTCCAGGCTGTTAAGTCCTTAGTTGAGGAAAGTATGACTTCTTCCAGCAGTGCTCTAGCTCTTGTTCTCAGCCCTTCTCAAACTTTTGAAGCAGATAAACAGGCTTTGATGACCCTTCTTCAACATGACTCTGCCGACCTCCCTTTCATTGAAAATGAACT